CTTCCAGTGGTCAGATTCAGCAACTCAAGCCTTCCAAACACTAAAGGGTGCTCTTACTTCAGCTCCTGTTCTTAGGCTTCCAGATTTCTCTAAAGAATTTATAGCGGAAACTGATGCATGTGGTACTGGAATTGGGGCTATATCGATGCAATGATAGCCCATAGCCTTTTTCAGCAAGGGATTAGCTCTTAGCCACCAACAACTTTCAGTTTATGAAAAAGAACTTATGGCAGTGGTGCTGGCTGTGTTGCATTGGCGACAATATTTAGAGAGGGAGAAGTTTCTCATTAAAATAGACCAGCAAAGTATAAAGTACCTTTTGGGGCAGAACCTAAATACTTCTTTTCAACGGTTTTGGGTGACCAAGCTAGCTGGATTTGACTATGAAATTCAATATAAAAAGGGGGATGAAAATTCTGTAGCTGATTCTTTGTCTAGAATGCCTAGACAGCAACTTATGCACATAACTTTTGATGCATCCTCTCCTGAGTTACTGTAGAAAATAAAAACAAGTTGGGAGGACAATGATTTTGCTACCACTCTTCTCAATAAGGTGCAACAGCATGATGGAACTTGGGGGCATTTCACTTAGGATGGTGAATTACTAAGAAGAAAGGGGAAGCTAGTCATTGGCAAAGATCAGTCCCTTAGGACACAAATCCTACAATGGCTCCATTCTAGTCCTCAAGGGGGCCATTCAGGTATACAAGCTACTTACAAAAGCATTAAAGCTTTATTTTGGTGGAAAAAATTGATTAATGATGTGACAGAATTTGTCAAAGCTTGTGATACTTGTGCTAGATGTAAATATGAAGCTATTGCACCCCCGGGATTACTACAACCTCTCTCTATTCCAAGTAGAGTTTGGGAAAGTGTGACTATGGATTTCATTGAGGGACTTCCCAAATCACTTGGCAAGGACACCCTTTGGGTTGTTATTGACCGCTTGAGCAAATATGCTCATTTTATTCCTCTTTCTCACCCATTTTCTGCTACCACATTAGCTCAGGCTTTTATGGATTAGATCTATAAATTACATGGAGCACCTACTGAAATCATAAGTGATCGTGACCCTTTGTTTGTGAGCAACTTCTGGAAAGAGTTTTTAAGGATATTGGAGGTTGATCAAAAGCTTTCCTTTGCCTATCATCCCCAAACAGATGGCCAATCAGAGGTGCTGAATCGCTGTTTGGAAACATATCTAAGGTGCATGTGTGGGGCAAGACCCAAGGATTGGAGTAAATGGGTTGTACAAGCTGAATGATGGTATAATACTTCATTTCATTCAGTTGCAAAGTCTACACCTTATGAATTGTTTTATGGGCAGAAACCGTCAATCCATTCTCCCTATTTACCTCATAATTCAATTTTAGATGCTGTGGACAAGAGTTTTACAGCAAGGGAGGAAATGATGGGTCTTTTAAAACATCATCTCCATAGGGCAGCAAATATAATGAAGCAAAGAGCTGATAATCACAGAACTGATCGGAAATTTGCTATTGGGCAATGGGTTTTCCTAAAGCTACAGCCTTACCGACAGACTTTTGCTGCTTCTAGGAGTTCTCAAAAATTGGCTTCTAGGTATTTTGGCTCCTATAAGGTGGTTGGGAAGGTTGGAGCTGTTGCTTACAGATTAGACCTACCTCCTGACTCAAGAATTCATCCTACTTTTCATGTCTCTCTACTAAAATTGTGCCTAAACCCTTCTGTTAAACCTAGACATCCACCCCCTGATTTTCCTGAAGTGCCACCAGCACTAGCTCCAGAGAAGATTTTGGGAAAAAGAAATGCCGGAAAAAGAAGGAAGTTAATTACTGAAATAATTGTTCAGTGGCAAGGTTTACTGGATGAAGAAGCCTCCTGGATGCCCCTCTATAGTTTTCAGCAACAATTTCCAGATTTTGTTATTCCAAATCCTTGAGGGCAAGGATCTTTTGGGAGGGGGGTATTGATGTATTATTCTAATTATTTTTAAATAGTAGTAGGAGCAACGGTCACTAATCGTTAGGAGAGTTATTTAAGTAGGATTAGTTTTGTAATTAGGCCTATAAATAGACATGACCAGGGTACCCATTGTACAGTATTGATTTCATGAATATACAGCGCACTATTCAGTATGCTCTCTGTTTTTCTCTCTGTCTTCTCCCTTGGATCACCCCTCCTCTGATTCTCTTCTCCTAATTCCTATCTTTCTTCATCTTTCTCCTTCCCTGAACCCTCTTCTATCTCTCTTTTCTATTTCTATCCTATCACGGGACAATATGCTGGGGCTCACAGTGGTATAGGTTTTGGAGTGCGTAATAATGAAAGGCAAGCTATTATTGATTTCTCCCTTGCGTACAACCTCAAGATTGTTAACACTTGTTTCAAGAAGCGGGATGAGCATTTAATCACTTACAAGAGTGGAACCCATAGGCCGCAGATCTATTTCTTTCTAATCCTAATAGAAAACTCTGCACAAATTGTAAAGTGATTCCTGGAGATGGCATGACAGCACAACATAGAGTATTGATCCTTGATGTACGTACTAAGTGTATAAAACAAAAGCGCCAACAAGTGTTAACCCCAGAAGTCAAATGGTGGCAATTAAAGGGAGAGAAGCGAGAGATTTTCAAAAAGACGCTTTTAAATGAAGGGGTTAGGGAGCCACAAGGAAATGGTAATCTTATGTGGATAGAAATGACTAAAAAGGTCCAAAAGGCTGCTAAAACAATCTTGGATGAATCGAAAGGTCGAGGTTGGCGAGATAAAAAGACGTGGTGGTGGAACGAGAACGTGCAAGAGAAAATTAGGCATAAGCGAGAGTGTTTTAAAGTGTTGCATTTATGTAATAATACTAAAAATTAGGAAAGGTACCGTGTAGCTAAAAGAGAGACTAGGAGAGCAGTGGGAGAAGCTCGTGCTAAAGCATTTGAGGAGTTCTATAAGGATCTAGGGACTAAGGCTGGGGAATGCAAGATCTACAAGATCACAAAGAATAAAGAAAGAAAAACAAGAAATTTGGACCAAGTAAGATGTATAAAGGATGAAGAACGTAGAGTTTTGGTTACTGATGGTGATATTAAGGATCGTTGGAAAGCTTACTTTTATAAGCTATTTAATGATGGGAGTAAAGGATCAACTCATGAGCTTGAAGATTTGACAATTGGAGAAGAGAAACATAATTTTGCTTTTTATCGAAGAATTCGAGTTTGTGAAGTTAAGGAAGCTCTCAAGAAAATGAAAAATAATAAAACAGTTGGACCTGATAGTATTCCTATTGAAGTTTAGAAATGTTTGGGTGAAGGTGGGGTGCAGTGGCTTACTAAGTTATTCAATGAGATTTTGCGCTCCAAAAAAATGCCTAATGATTGGAGGAAAAGTACTTTAATGCCTCTTTACAAAAATAAAAAGGATATTCAGAACTGTGCTAACTACAGAGGGATTAAACTCATAAGCCATACCATGAAATTATAGGAGAAGGTGATGGAACATAGGTTGAGATTGGAGACTTGTATCTCTAAAAACCGATTTGGGTTCATGCCAGGAAGATCGACAACAGAAGCGATCTATTTACTAAGGGGTTTAATGGAAAAGTACCGAAACTATAAAAAAGACTTGCATATGATTTTTATTGATTTGGAAAAAAACTTATGACCATGTGCTTAAAGAAGTGCTCTGGAGAGCCTTGGAGAAGAAAGGGGTGTTGTCGCTTATATTAAAATCATACAAGACATGTATGAGGGGGTCACTAGCGTTAGAACACCAGACGGTAAGACAAAGGACTTTCCTATAAGGATTGGCCTATATCAGGGATCATCTTTAAGCCCTTATCTGTTTAACCTAGTCCTCAATGTTCTAACTAAGCATATCAAAGAAGAAATCCCGAAGTGCATGCTTTTTACTGATAGTATAGTTCTATTGGCCGAGTCAAAAGAAGAGATTATCGCTAAACTTGAGACATGGAGAAGAACCTTGGAATTGAAGGGTTTCCTTTTGAGTAGAAGCAAGACGGAATATATGCATCGCAATTTTGATAAGAGACAAGTTAGTACAGGGTTGGAAGTCAGATTGGGAGACCAAGTCATTGAACAAATGGAAAAGTTTAAATATTTGGGATCAATTATACAAAAGATAGAGAAATTGATGGAGATGTTAATCATAAAATTCAAGCTGGGTGGTTTAAATGAAGAAAAGCGATAAGAGTTATCTGTGATCGGAAAGTACCAAATAAGGTCAAAGGAAAGTTTTATAGCACTACTATAAGACCGGCAATGCTATATGGCAGCGAGTATTGGGCTTTAAAAGGACAACATAAACATAAAATGGCAGTTGCTGAGATGAGAATGTTGAGATGGATGTGTAGTCATACAAGAAAAACAAGATCCGTAATGAACATATAAGAGGAAAAGTTGGAGTGGCTACTATTGAAGAGAAAATAGTAGAAAACCGATTGAGATGGTTTGGTCATGTGCAAAGAATGCCTTGGGACACGCCAGTAAGAAGAGTTGAGCAAACAGTATGGAATCCTCTAAAAAGGAGTAGAGGAAAGCCGAAGACAACACTTAATGAAGTTATTAAAAGAGATCTTTCAATTAACAATCTATCCAAAGATTTGACTTTGGATAGGACTCAATGGCATCGTGCGGTCCATAGAGCCGATGGGATAAGACTTTGTTGTTGCTGCTATTGTTGTTGACTATAATTTTTAATTTAAAAATAATTAGTGCTATCTTCATTAATCTCTTTTCGTCCCCATCTACACTTTAAAATACATATGGTAAAATACATATGGAAGCTCTTCCTCCTCCTTCGCATTCTTCTTTTTTACCCATCTCCATGTCCATGTCCCATCTTCCAACTTGTTTCTTTCAAGATCTCATGCATTCTCTAAATATAGATATCTTATTTCTAAAAAAACAATCCATTTGAAACCCTGTAGCTTGTAACATGGTAAAAAGTTTTCAGAATTAAATGCAGGAATTGTAATTTACAATAAAATATTAATGCAAAAAACTCACCTTCCAGCACCAGCAACAACAATTTTCATTTTCGGAAAGTCGATCATTGGCCTTCCTTGTGCTCTCACAGCACCTAGAAGTCCGGCAATTGCAACTCCAGCTGTTCCCTGTCAGGAGAATTATAGATATATCGAGCCAGGTGGGAAGTAATTCATGATAAAAATTACAAATAATTCTCCAATTTTAAATAGAGTTTAATCCAATACTAATTTAGGTGACAAGATCTTCCATTAAAAAAGGCAGATACCTAGCATAGTGCTTTAGACAAATTCAACTACAACCAATTATTATAAATTCCTCATAAATACCTTAGAGAATTTGTATTCTTTTTTTAATAAATTTCTGATATTCAAGTGAGGGAAGGAGCCAAAAATTATTCTCCAAAAATGACCCAAGAGCTAAGAAAAATTTACATTGTTCTATTTACATCAATAAGAAATAAATTCTTAATACTTCCACACATCCCCTCAAATTTGGACCATGACATCAAACAGCCCTAAACACGTATTGGTACAGGTAATTGCCACTATACTAAACTCTGAAGATCCAAGTTGTCATAATAGCACCCCAGAAAATGATGGATATGATAAGTCCTTAAATAAAAGAGATATATACCTGCACATCATCATTGAACATCCTGTAGGTATTTCTATACCGCTGCAATAACTTAAATGCCCACTTGCTTTGGAAATCTTCAAACTGTACAAGTATGAAAACTATCACAAAATCCTTATAATTCAAAAGTTGTCAATACTACTTCCTAATGAAAACTATTATTGCAAAATATGCGCCTAAGACATATAACTGACATATCCAAGACGCTACTTGTATTTTCTCCACATAATCTCATTACTGCAACAAAAATAAACCTGTACAATAACATGTGGCCAACGAGTAAAGACAGCTTGCATGAATTCATCTATAACAGCAAGATAGTCATCCCCATCAAGACGGTGTTGTTGCAATCCCAGATCTGCCACCAGAGAATAATTTAATCACATTTCAGACTGAAGTCAAGTCAATTAGAAGGCTCAAGGAAAAGATGATAATTGGCAAAATGCATATGCAATAAATGAAGGTGTCAAATACCAAGGACGTCAGCATTAAATTTCTCAAAAATCACTCATTAATTAACAAAGCATCTATGAAGAAGCTTGAACATGGAACTCAAGTGGCAACCTAGGAAATTCTAATGTATCTAAGTATTTTTCTTTTTCAATTTCCCATGATTTCCAGTATGAATGTCCAATAGATGTAGGACAGTGATGGGCCTAGAAAATCTTAGGGCCAAGTTTACAAAAAGAGAGCTAAAGAAAATAGAACCAGTCCAGACCATAACGCACAAGAGAGGGAAGGACCAAATGGAAGTGGACCGAATAGGAGTGGCCAGAATTTGGTGTGACGATTTTCTAACATGTCATTGTGGGAGTGCGTTAAGAGAGTGAGAGGGGAAAAGGAAGGGGAGATAGAGAGGATTGGTGAGGAGAGGTGCCTGGTCTCTCGAAAACCGGACTGAGAGTTTATTTTCTTTGTATCGTGGTGAGCTTTGTTTTACTATTTCATTAAGCTTTTCCGTTAGGGAAGGGCAATAGACATTGTATTCTCTCATTTTCCATTCAATAAAAGGAATACTGGCTATAATTCATTTCCAGTATTTCACTGTTATTTACGGGCTCTATCAGTTTTGGTATCAGAGTGGTGATATTCTGGGATATGGCTGGAACGAGGATGGACGGTGGAGTGGAGCAGTTAGAAAAGATGGTGGAGGAGATACAAGGGAGGCAGGTAGAGACCACAAAAAAGTTGACCCGGATGGACGATAAGGTGAACTTTATCATAGAGCAACTGAACGAGTTCTAAGCAGCTATCCAGACAATGGGTCGAAATGAGGGACCAGAGCGACCAGAGGCTCATCAGGAGCAGCTGGCAGAACTGAGGATCAAGATAGAAGCACATAACTGAGAGGGTACAAGACAGAATGACCCAACTAAGCATAGAAAACTGGAGCTACCTCTATTTTTAGGGAAGGACCCACTAGGGTGGATACATAGAGTGGAACGGTATTTCTCTGTGAACGGCATTCAAGAGGCAAAGAGATTGGATGGAGGGGAAGGCCATCACATGGTTCCAATGGCTTGAATCTCGTTCCCCTGTGGCGTCATGGCAGGAACTCAAGAAAGAAGTAACTAACAGGTTCCATTGCCGTCAGGTTGGGGATGAATACGAGTAACTTTTTGCCCTCAAACAAGAGGGCACAGTCAAGGAATACTGAGAGCAATTTAAGTTACTACCGGCCCCTCTAGAGAATGTGAGTGATGAGGTTCCCATGGTCGCGTTTATGAACGGCCTCAAAGAAGAAATTAGATGTGATGTCAAGTTAATGCACCCTAAGTCTGAAACAGGCAATGGATTACGCTACGCAAGTTGAAGACCACAACAAGTTGAAGGAAAATGTGAGGAGAAGAAGAACAAGGCTGCTTGGGCTCCCCCTGCAACTTGTTGAAATGATTTCAAGTCTTTCGCTCCAAAGCTTAGTGCAATTGAATTGCTAAGGAACCCCCTGTCACTACCAAATACCAAGAACAGCAATGCCAAGAGCACCGAGGAGGCAAAGGCGACTACCACCCGTGTGACGCCATCGAACATGTCAGTTGTAAGTTCTAGTGGGAGTAGTGCAACGAGAAAGCGGCTATTGAAGGCCGAGATAAACCGAAGGAGAGAATTGAGCCTCTGCTTTCAATGCGAAGAGAAGTATGGGCCCAACCACAAATGCAAGAATAAACAACTTAAGCTGATTGTTTTAGAGAAAGATAATGAGGGCTCGGACAAAGACGGGGTAGAGGCCTAAGACTCGGAAGAAGAGCCAGGGGAAAAGAACATGGCCACACTAGAGTCGTCCATGACCACTGTAGTTAGGCTAACCGGGAAACGAACGTTGAAGATACGAGGGAAGGTGCGGGGAAAAGAGGTGCTAGTTCTAATCGATTGTGGAGCAACCCACAACTTCGTTGCCCGCTCCATGGTGGAGACCCTTAAAATACTGACGGTAACCATGACAAGCTACAGGGTAACAGTGGGAGATGGGAGGAGGATCATTGCAAACCAAAAGGGCCCAGAGATTGAGCTCAAAATACAAGGAATTGAGATTAAGCAACCCTTCTACCCAATTAATCTGGGAAACGTTGATTTGGTCCTTGGAGTGGAGTGGGTTGAATCTTTAGGAGAAACCAAGATGAATTGGTGACAGCTCTACATGAAGGCACAAATTCACAACCGGTAGGTGTGCCTCAAGGGAGACCCGAGGCAGACGTAAACGCAGACACAGACCCAGACCCACGCATCCCTGAAGGCGCTTAAGAAGGCTGTTCGGGAAGAAGGGATGGGGTATTTCGTGGAACTAAGGGCGATTGAGAGCGAAGCAAGCATAAGGCAGCATTCAAATGACATGGAGATGGAGAAGATACTCAGCGAGTTCCTTGAGGTAAGTAGACCGATTCGGGAGTTACCTCCCCGACGGGACATGCTAATGCTATGTGAGTTCGGGAAGAAGCTCTTCCACCAAATACTCATCCGTATCAGTATGGGCATGCTCAAAGGTTGAGATTGAGAAGCTTGTAAAGGAGATGTTGCTCGTAGGCATCATCCAGCCTAGCACCAGCCCATATTCCAATCCTGTATTACTGGTTAAGAAGAAAGACGGAAGCTGGCGATTTTGCATGGACTATAGAGCTTTGAACCAAATCACTGTCCCTGATAAATATCCCATACCAGCAATTGATGAACTGCTCAATGAGGTGGGGGAAGATACGATATTCACCAAACTGGACCTGAAGTCAGGGTATCACTAGATCAGAATCAAGGAAGGAGACGAATACAAAACAGCATTCCACACCCACAATGGTCATTACAAGTTTAAGGTTATGCCTTTCAGTTTGACCAACGCCCCTTCTACTTTCCAATCACTTGTGAATGGCATTTTTAGAGAATATTTGAGAAAATTCATTCTTGTATTTTTTGATGATATCCTCATGTACAGTAAGAACAGGAAATTACACAAGGAACATTTGAGGGCCACTATGAATGTGTTGAAGCAGCATCAATTGGTGATCAATCCTAAGAAGTGCATATTCAATCAACCACAAATTGAATACCTGGGTCACAATCTCAGTAACAAGAGTCAAATTTGACCCTTTGAAGATTGAGGCCATGGTAAATTGGTCCGAGCCCAACAACCTGAAGGCACTGCATGGGTTCTTCGATTTGACCAGGTATTATAGAAAGTTTCTGAAAGATTATGGCAAGATAATGGCCCCTCTAACTCAACTACTCAAGAAAGACTCTGTCAAGTGGGATGACCACACCCAAAAGGCCTTTAACAATCTCAAAGTTGCTATGACAACTCTTCCAGTGCTGGCTGTTCCAAACTTTAATTTACCCTTTGAGATAGAAACTAACACATCAGGAAAGGGAGTTGGGGCAATACTCATGCAGCAAGGGAGACCGATTGCCTTTTTCAGTCAGAAGCTGGCAGAAAGACATCAGCATTACTCTGTTTATGAAAGGGAACTCATGGCCATTGTGCTTGCTGTTAAAAAATGGCAACACTATCTTAATAGCCACCCTTTCATCGTCAAGACAGACCAAAAAACTCTCAAATACTTATTGGAACAAAGAATAATTGCTCCCGACTAGAATAAGTGGGTCACCAAGCTTATGGGGTATAAGTTCGAAATCCAATATAAACCGAGAAAGGACAATAGAGCAGCTAACGCCTTATCCCGTCAAGAGGCCGATCTGGAATTGAAGGCTTTCTCCCTGTGGCAGTATAAGGGCATAGCAGATCTTGAGCAAGAAATTTCTCAGGATGCTAACTTGAAGGACATTATACAGCAGCTAATCAAAAGGGGAGAAGGGCCACGGGCTACGCACTTGAAAAGGCTATTGTATTATGTTGGGTATAAGGATAATATTGAGATATGGGGCGTATACCATGTGAGTGTGGGTATTTGTGGTATTTGCCATTTAACAGTCGGTGAGAAAGAGGGGTTATATAATAGGGACCTGGTTATTGGGATAAGGGGGGAAAATTGTGATGAGTGAATTGTGAGGAGAGTTTCTGTGCCTCTCGAATGCACAGTTGAGTTGTTTCCTTTTGTTTAGGTGAACTCCATAAGACTTACACTCTGTGGAGCTATATTTTTCTATTGATTAATACATATTTCAGAGCTGTGATTCCATCAAAGGTATCAGAGCCATACAATCCATGGGAAGTTTTCTACATCAATATGATCCAATCTTGCTGCGATGGAAACTGGAGAAATGCCTAAAGCATCTAGACAACGCAGCGGAAGGATTACGGAGGATGACCGAAGGATTTCGAGAGATGAGGACAAAGTTTCAAAGTATAAAGGATGAGCTACGAAAAGAGACCGAGGAGACGATACCTGTTGAAACACTACAGACATCAGAGGAGGAATTGGTAGGGGAAGCCATTGTACTAGATAAGCAAGATGGAGATGAAAACAAAGTAAATGAAGTTGAAGTTCATGAAGTTCATGTTGAGGTCGAATCATCAGAGAAATCTCAAGCGAACAAAACTGAATTAGATTCCGACAATGATCGAAAAGAGATCGAGGAGACGACACCTATTGAAATACTACAAACATCAGAGGCGGAAATGGTAGGGGAAGCCATTGTACTAGATAAGCTAGATGGAGATGAAAACGGAGGAAATGAAGTTGAAGTTCATGAAGTTCATGTTGAGGTTGAATCATCAGAGAAATCTCAAGCGGACAAAACTGAATTAGATTCCGACAATGATCACATTGTGGCTGAGGAGGATGCAATAGTGGCCGACTCTGCTTTTGCCACAATATTTGCGGCTACACCAAAGGAACTGCTGCTGTTGGCTGACACATTTAGACCATCAGAAGCTGCAAAGCAGAGGCGACGACCTCCATTCTTCATGTTCTC